TGGGTCGTGGGATAGTCCAAGGAGAACGAACTCTGACACGGTGGTGCAGTTTTCTTTGCCCATGTCTCCAATTTATGAGGGATTAAAGGAGAACAAAACCAAAAACTATCCTCCATTATATAGTCTAAAATTTAGTTTTGGCTCTATCCTGTAAAAAGATTATCAGAAGAAGTAGAATAGTTAATTTTATCAGCGAAGAATAAAACTTTTGTAAAATTTTAAAAAGTTCTGTTATTGTATAACACAAATGCATAAAACTTGCAGTTTAATTCAAAGATCAAACAAAAACATTAGCAGTTATAAAACCTTATAGAATTATTTTAATTAATCTTTCACAATTGAGAGCTTGGCACTGAATTATTAGTAAAGAGGTAAAGTTGTTTAATTTGCCTTATTATCTTATCAAATTCAAATTTCATTTGCCAAGCAGACTCCAAATATTGAAATCCTAGAAAATAATGTTTAGAATATATGGCCCCTCTCTGAATTTTCCACTACATTGATGAGAGATATTGTTATTTAGGATGTTAACTCACAAGTGTTCATATTGTACTGATATATTTTAGATGAAGAAATTCATTTTATAATGTGTATTATTATTTTCTCTACAAAATTAACATGGCGATTTGGTTAGTTGCACTCTTCAATGTTGGCCATGTTTCAGGGAATTGGTACACTTGAGCACAATGTACTGTAACTATGACGCTTCAATCTTAAAACATTTATTTGTTAAATACATTTAGTGTTATCAATCTATTTGAAGAACTGATCAAAGATGTGCATAGAAAATTATTAAGAAAACGGTCACTGCTTCATTGAAGAGTCATGTGTAATATTAAAAGTTAGACATAAACATAAAATAAGAGAAATATGGCTGCAATTGTATTTTATATAATAGAAAAGCATGCAGTTATAAAAATGATAATTTTGTATCAATTTAATGATATGAAAAACAGACTGATAAGTAATGAAATAGAAAGTTATAATACAGCAAAATTGCACATAAAGAATATTATACATATTATAATAATATATAATATAAATAAATGTATTTATTCTACACACACGTTTCATCATATATTTAATCCTTACCACATTCATGAACATAAATATTCATTTAAAAAAATGTATGAAGTTGTCTGACTTCTCACAAAACATCATTATGATGGAGTGAAATGAGGAAAAAGAATGAAATTTTTTTTAAATAGGGACACACTTTCTGAATCTTTGACATACAGCAAGTGTAACATGAGGGTGAGAAGCCTCATATTCTCTCTCCCTGACCCTTGATAGATACATACATCATTGTAGAGGCACCAACTGAGCACTCCAGGGAGAAAAGAATCTGGACTAGAGACCAACACAGCCAGGTATTTTTTCCAATCTTCTACTGACTTCAGATATACAAGAGACATATTACTAAATGCCAGATTGAAAATAAATCAAATGTTCTGATAATATGGTTTTCTCTCTTAAAATGACCAGGAGATGTAAGTTACAAGTCTTTTCCCAAATTCAAACTAGTACATACTTTTGAAAACCCTTTCTTGTTTGCAAATCTAAAGAAAAATCCAGCTGCTAACTGCCGATAGATCAGTGTTTCTTTGTCAAGAGTGACTTGAGTCCCAATGGCTTATTTTTCAATGTCTGGAGACAGTTTTGGTTGTTACAAGAGGAAGGGGGTGCTATTGACATCTAGTGAGAACACTGCTCAACTATTTACAATGCCCTCTACAAAGCACATGAGGGTCCCTGCCTGCAGCACACACAACAAAACATTATCTGGACCAAAATGTTAATGGTTCCTTCATTGAGAAATCTGCCATAGAGAGACATTTCAAAGTGCTTGGCACAAAAACAAAATAATTCCTCTTCTTTCTGCTTCAGAGGTGGTTCTCATATCCATGTCCCTCCACGAACAGTCCTGTGGGCCTCTCACTGCCACCCTCAGCATCGCAGTGACTGTTGGGAAAGTCTCCATGCAGCCTTTACCAGGTTACACGGACAGTTAGTGTAATAGAGAGGAAAGGGGGAAGAATAGAGAAAACAAGTGCTTATGCCAGTTCATTCACACGGCTTTTCATCTCACGCTAATACTTGTTATAGGATGTGTGGTTCAGCAGATTAGATAGTTTCCACTTCCTATCAAAACTGGCCCTTAATACACAACAAGAAAAATATTATCATCAAGGAATGTTCAAACCATGGCAATTAAAAAAACATTTTCTGATTAAGAGAGGGTTAAAACACAGATTTTTTTAATTATCTAATACTATTACCATTCTTTTGAATTCCCCCTTCTGCAATGTATGAGTTACCTCCATGATGTAAAAACGTCAGACATCCAGCTTCCAGAAAATAAAGTTTATGCTCATTCTCAAAAATACAAAATGTAGTTCAGCTAACCAACCTATTGAACAAACATTGCTTTTCCTATTTCTGAAGATCCTATGATGGAAATATTATGTGTTTGTGTGTGTGTGTGTGTGTGTGTGTGTGTGTGTGTGTGTGTGTATCCCTGGGGCTCATGTTTCATAATCTTCCAAAAACAATCATTGATCTCTGTGGGATACCACTACATATCAAAGAAACCATCGTATCATGGGACTCCAACCATTATTGACCACTATGGAATATAAATAGAATGAGAAAAAATCCAACTTGTTACATATTTTTGTAATCTAACACAATTACATTCAGAGATCATGTAAATTGCAGAACGTTGTATGCCACATGCAAGCACTGCCTCTGTAAAGCAGTACTCACGTTACTATTTCACAATATGAAATTTTATTAATAGGTCTTACAAACTTTGTATTATACATAAAAGCTCCTACCTAAAGGGCATAGAATCTGAAACCATACCAAAGATCCTCCAAATATCAGAAAGGGGTGGGGATAATGAATCTCTTTTACTAAGAATACTAATAATTGCTTACATTTACTGAGTACTTCTCATGTGCCGGATGCTATTCTAAATACAATTATATGAACACATTTTATCTCACAAAAGTGGTTGACACCAGTACTGTTGTTATTTCCCATTTAAAAATGAGATTCTGGAGGCACAGCAAGTGTAACTCGCCCACAGTCACACACAGAGTCCCTGCTAGAGACAGGCCATGTGTGGCTTTTTGGTTTGTGCCATCTGTGCAACTGTAAGGAAGAATAGAGCTCCAGAGTGGTACTGGTGGTGCAGACTCCCTCTTCAATGCTGGTGGTCATTGAATGGGAATATCTCAAGGATCTCTCCAAGCTCCACTTCCTTCTTGACTAATACAGCAATGTCGACCTGAATAAACAATGTTCAAATCACAGTCTATGTGCCTCAAGAGATGTAATCAGTTATAATCTATATGTGTTTTCCAAAACAGATCTGAGAATTCTCTGGATTGGAGGAGACTTTCTGGGTCTCCTTTTAACCTAGCATTCTCACAACCTCTTTTCTCTCACTCTTTTAAAAAGCATGGGATTTCTCTAATCCATTCATATCTTACCATATGAATCACTCTGATGAGAAAAACAAAAGCAAACATTCAAATCCTAAACTTGAAAGTTTATCCATGGGGGCTGAAGCTGTCCTTATTGACACTTCAAACCTATGGCATGACCTGTTTCTCTAAGTTGTCTGTAAATTTCTTTATCGAAAAGAATTGCAGTTGACACGTATTCTAGCCAATATAATCTTGGCCAGGTGTTGTGGCTAGTGGCTCTGATCCGAGCACATTGTGAGGGCAGCGAAACTCGGCAGATCGCTTGATCACAGGAGTTACAGACCACCTTGGGCATCATGGAAAAACCCTGTCTCTACAAAAATACAAAAGTTAGCCGGGTGGGTGGTTTGCACCTATATTCCCAGCTACCTGAGAGTCTGAGATGGGAGGATCATTTGACCCCAGGAGTTCCACTGTGAGCTGTGTTTGGACCACTACCCTTCATCCTTGCTGACAAAGAGAGAACGTGTCTCAAAATATATCTATATCTATATCTATATATAAAATTCACCTATTGGCTATTGAATATGGGTTTATACATAATGTACACATACATAGTATACTATATGTACTCAGATATATAGTAAAATGATGAAAACATTTGTTTAATATATATTCATTTTTCTCTTAGTATAATGCCAAACTATTGTCACAAAATGCATCTCTTGAAGATGAGAGTTATGATAGAAAGCTGAAAATGCCTCTATAAAGAAAATCATTACCAGCAGTTCCTTATGTGATATAGGCAACCCACTCACAAGAAAGCTACATAACTTATATATCTTAGGCTTAAAAGGGTGGGAGGTGTTTTTAAAAGTTGATTTAAATTTAAAATAGTTTTGATTAATTTCATGGTCATTATCCATAAACTGGATAATATAAATGTGAAGCACTAAATTTTGATGACATATACTTAAACCACATAAGATGCCATCTGAATAAAACATTGTATCAACAAGTATTAATAAAATCAACAATTTTAAATTTAAAACCATTTTATTATTTTAAAATGTTTCCTCAATGTGGAATAATATAAGATGCTGAATTATTACATTATAAAACTTTGGGAAGGTTTTTGGTAGCCTTCTCAGAATTTGAGAAAGTGAGTGACTCTAATGACGGCGTAAAAAATCACTCCAAAACCTATTGGCTGAACACAGCAACCTCTTATTGCTTGTGACTCTATTGCATGGGTCATCCAGATGGTTCTGCTAATCTGTCCCTGGCATGGCTGATCTTGGCTTGTCTTGCTTGTGTGTATGCTATTAGCTGGTAGGTCCAACCATCTAGCAGGGCTTCACACTCAAGTCTGCTAGGTTGGCAGAGAACAGCCCTTGTGATGAGCATATGGGTTAATTTTTCTCATTATCAAATATGCTATTTTATGCTTGTTCACATGGAAGCTTTTCAGAATTTCAAAAGACAATGAGATTTAGGATGCAATGTAATATTAAAACAATGTCCCAACTTTTGAGAAAACTAAAAACTATATAAATACCAGATGCATATGAAGAATAAATTTTTTAATACCTCAAGATACAGATATCAAGAGAAAAAGTGTTCCCTCCTCAGGCATTCATTATCTAAAACACTGTTCCTTACATTTAAAAAATGTTTCCATATACAAGGATTATTTAGTTGATTTTTTATCAAATAATAAATATAAAATGAATCACTATATTATCATAACTTTAATAATCACCATAAGGCAAAAATAATATGAACATTTTAAATAAGGTTAAGAAGTTTACATAAAATTTTTCCTGATATTATTTTTTTTCATAACAAAACACCTAAAAATTTAATTCTTTCACCAAATTGCTGATTTATTTGGGATTGTATCTCGACACATTGAAAAGGAGTAGGGTATACAAATTATTCAAATGAAAATGAATTATTAAGGTAAGAAAAAGATAGCATTTTTAATTTGCTATGCTAAATAGGTCTTGATATTAATAATTACCTGATTTTTATCTTATTTTGATTAAGTTATGTAGCCAATTAGCTTTCAACACTAAAGACTACTCCAACAACCTTTTTATAAAGGTGGTTGGGAATTCTGTTGAGAATGATTCAGAGATTATTTCCATGCTTATCATAAAGGAAAAAAAAAAGTCATAATGGATTGATACTGTTTGTGATGTCTAACAGTGTGACATACAGGTTGGGCAGGTGTCTGTCATCCCTAGTGTGGTACATAAGATTTTCTAATTATTTCTCAGCTTCTGGAAGAGTCTATTTTAGTTTATCAGACTATCTCACTAGAGCTTCTTTAAAAACACAGTCAGGATATAGCCCATACTGTACTAAAATTGCCATTCATGTCAAGTACCTGTATACATAATACAGCACACACACACATTCTATTATGTTAGCTCAATAAAATACCTACTAGATCTTTGACTCTTTGACTGTGTATTACATTCTTATCTCCTTAGTTTCACTCACATTGTTTTCTCCTGAATAAAACTCTTTTCTCGCCGAAATGTGTCTCCTAAACTCTGCCCATATCCTTTTCAAAAGCCAGTTTCAAACAATACCTAGTTCATTAAGACCTCCTTCTAAAGTTCCTAAATGGATTTGAGCTTTCTCGTCTCTCAAACTCTCTTTGGTACTTGTCATTTTTTGCCTTATACAATAGCCACTTCTTCATTGTCCTATTATCAACACAGTTTTGCATCCTTGAGGACGAGGACTATCTCTTCTTATTTTGCACATTTATAAAAGAAATTCATATGTTTATCAAGCACTTAGTCTATTCCTGGTATTTTATAAGAAAGGGATATAGAATTAATAATGTTCATTGACTTACACAAGGTGGCCATTATATTTTAACATTCATAATCAAACTATGATCTAGCCCATTTATACTAATTTCATAAATGAAATAGCAATGATTAGAGAGATTACTGTTGTTTCTCAGAAGGTAAGAGGCAGAGTTAAGTTTAGTCTGTTGAAAACAAAATCCATTTCATTCATAACTCTATGTACTTATAAGGATAGATTTGAGATCAATATATATGAACACACTATTTATATATGTGACAAACTCCACTAAAGTAACAGGTTCAACAAGAGAAGACTTTGGTGTCCAGTATCTTGGTGACTGTATCCTTGACATCTTTATTTCTCAAACTGTAGATCAGGGGATTCAACATAGGGATCACCTCTGTGTAAAATACAGAGGCCACTTTGACTGTGTGCCTGGAGTTTTTGGAGTTGGGCACACAGTAGAGGAAGAGGATGGTGCCATGGAAGATAGTGATCGCAGTCAGGTGGGAGGCACAGGTGGAGAAGGCTTTGCGGCGCCCACTGTAACGCATCTTGAGGACGGTTACAACGATGAACACATAAGATGTGAGAATGATGAGTAGTGTGCTGACTTCATTAAAGGTGGCAAAAAAGAAAAGCAGCCACTGGTTGAGGGAAGTATTAGAGCAAGAGAGTGATATCAGGGAAGATAATTCACAGAAGAAGTGATTGATTGTGTTGAAACCATGAAAAGATAACTTTAAAGCAGAGCACGTCAGTATCACAGAACATGTGATTCCCCAGGCGTAGGATCCCACAACCAGCACCATGCAGAGTTTCTGGGACATGGTAACTGTGTAGACCAGAGGATTGCAAATGGCCATGAAGCGGTCATAGGCCATCACAGCTAATAAAAACGATTCAGTGACCACAAAGGTGCAGAAGAAAAAGAATTGTACTACACATCCTAAAAATGAAATGGTTCTGTCTTTGACAACGAGGCTCACCAACATCTTGGGAGCAATGATGGAGGAATAGCAGAAATCCACAAAGGAGAGGTGGCTGAGGAAAAAGTACATGGGGGTGTGCAGTTTGGGGTTGATTTTGATGATTACAATCAACCCAATATTCCCTCCCACAGTCACACTGTAGATGGCCAGAAAAACCAGGAAGAGTGGGACTTGCAGTTCTGGGTAATCTGAGAAGCCCAAGAGGGTAAACGTGGTCTCACTTGTATTTCTATCTGCCAGTAACATCGTTTCTGTTTCTCAGAATCTGAAAGTTTGTTCTGAAAACAAAAATGTTAAGGAGAGTAAGAAAATAAGAAACATAGTTGAGTACCTTTATGAATCCTTAAGGGTGAAGCAAAAATATCTCTTTCAGAATCTATGATTTTTACTGTTCAAGATTTACTAAATATCTAAAATGTAAAATATATTCAATGTGTTTTAATTTCTTTAGAAAAATATAATTATTGAGTAAAATATTAAGTTACTAACTATAATTTTTAACATTTATAAGTATAGGAAAAATAGATTAGATATTTGTGATTACTCTAAATCAAATATTTCAGGCCTCCTTGAGCATTATAAATTTATAAAACATAATCCTAGCATAATATCATGCTCTCTTGGAGTTACCAATTACAAGATTATGTACACCTCGTAATCAGTAATACAAATCAAAATTTTATTAAAAAATTAGTTTTCACACCCTATGTTTATACAATGGCATTAACTATCAATAGCCCTAACACTTAATATTTGTGCCTTTGTTGTTAATTCCATATAGCACTTTAATCTTTGTCTGACCCAGAAAATCTGACTTCAAAATACAACTTAACTAATAGTTTCAGAGAATATGCTCCTCAACTCAGGCTGTGCTAATTATCCATCTTTCCTCGCTGCTTGAGAAATAATAAAATTTGAACAGGCAATACAGATAACCTAGTTCATTCTTTATTCTAGAGGTGACAAAGTAGAAGCCAGAGAAACTTTGAATTTCCTATAGGTATGCATATGAAGACCAATCTTCCCATCTATGATGAGAGTTCCAATCCTCAGACTCCGAGCCAGGTATAATTTACCCACACCAAACTGCTTCATTATCTAGATCTAGATCTAGATATTCCCTTCATTAATAAGTGTACTTTCAATTAGTAAGCAAACTAGAGACTCATAGTCCAATGGCAGTTACTGCCACAAAGATATATTAGAAAGTAGCATCAAGATAAAACACATGAGAAAGGGATTGAGGAAAATCTTCTCACCCAGAACTAACTATTCTAAGAGTCTGACTTGCAAACTTCCGTTTTCTTCCAGGTCCTCCCTGTCTCCATCTCTACTTCTCTTCTCTCCCTTCAGGACACATTGTATATTTATTGTGTCCAACTATTACCTATGAAGGAGGACTAAAATCTTGAGGTAGTACTGCAACCTGAAGACAGTTCATGAGAAAACAGAAACCAGTAGTAGGAAAGAATCATATTGCTCTAATTACTGTCCAACACCTCTCAGATCCCATTATATCTGTAATGTCTTTCTCTATTATAATAGACATTATCACTATTCACATAATCCAAGAAAGCTATTAGACAGCCCATCAAAAGAGATGTTAGGTTACATGCAAGACCAAGCTATTCAAGGGCCCCTCTTCCTACACTCATGAGTTTGTGTATTAATAATATCTCAAAAGACAATCCATCACAAACCAAGATACTCTAATTAGGATTTTTTTTCTATTTTCTTTCGTTTTTGTTTGTTTTGTTTTGTTTTTCGAGACAGAGTTTCACTGTGTTGCCCATGCTGAAGTACAGTGGCGTGATCTTGGCTCACTATAACCTCTGCCTCCCAGGTTCAAGTGATTATCCTGCCTTGGCCTCCTGAGGAGCTGAGATTAAATGTGTGAGCCACCACTCCTGGCCAGAACATTTTTTCTTAATACTGAGTTTTATTTATCTAAGACTTTAAATATTTATTTTTAATTAATGTTACATTTTATATAAGGCCTCTGTGTTCCCAATGAAACTCTTAAGTAGCTAATAAAAGTTTCCATATTTGAATCCAGGAAATAGGACAGATAAAATCCTCTTACCTGTAATTTCTTTCCATTCAAATTTAACTATTATTTTTGCTTTTAGGACTGATATGTGTTTCCTGTTATATAATCTTAATTACAGCGGTGGCTTCTATTTTTTTTTTTTCACTAGAGAGTCTACGTTTATTTCAATTTACTTAAATATGGCTATTCTACCTTGACTTTTCCTCCAAAACTTAACAGAAGCAAGGAAATACACATTCTGAATATTCTCAAGTTTCTTCTATTTCCCCATCCCAGGTACCAGTTTTTCAATGGGCTGTGGTTCAGGAGTCAGACCTTCTGAAAAAACCTTTGTAGAAAGAGAGCATTTTCTGTTCTTCCTACATTCACACATATTTTTCAAGACCTGCTGAGTCCTAAGGGTACATTTTCCTTCTCCTAAGTTGTTATATAGATTGAAATTAATATCGATCTGTCTTTAGAATCTTAAAGCAAACCTGCTAATGGCAAGGGTTGGATGTTTCCAGGCTGAGAATGACACAGACATTCTTATATCTACAGTTACAACATAGGAGACATGAACCCTAGAGACTACCTATTGCCTCAGTCTCCTGAGGTCACAAAAAACACAATTAAAATTAATCATCTTCTGATGTAATTCTAATACATTAGAAAACCTGCAGACAACTATAATAGCATTAGAAACACTTCATATTAAACAATTTATGTTTGAAAGTCACCTTCTTCAGCCCTGTGATCACTTCCAGATATTTCTGCAATTATAAGAATGTGTTTAATTTTAAGATCATTGGTACCCAATGCTGATTCACTGACTACTATTTGCCAGGCATAATTCTCTTCCTCCACACCACACACTGGGACTATATTGAAAAATATGAAGATCTAGCTTTCAGGTCATCCTGACTTATTTAGAAGTATTACAAAACAGAAATATTACAAAGTAAATATTCAATTGGATGAATATTCAATTGGATGAATATTGTCATCCCTGTTGAATTTCTGTCCTAGTCATTACTCGTTTTCCCTGCTGTCTTCTCCAGCTATTCCAGCCTTCTGTAATTTGTTCAAAAAATAGCACACTCCTTCCTTTAGACTATTCTACTGAAGTTTTCTCTGCCTGGAATTCCCTTACTTTTTGCTCAAATGTAAAATTTTTGGTTAAACCTTCTGTGTTAGGTTCTGTATATGTTGTGAATTACGTTTATAGACTTGCGTATGTTGAACCAGCCTTGCATCCCCGGGATGAATCCTACTTGATCATGATGGATAAGCTTTTTGATGTGCTGTTGCAATCGGCTTGCCAGTATTTTATTGAAGATTTTTGCATCTATGTTCATCATGGATATTGGCCTGGAGTTTTCTTTTCTTGTTGAGTCTCTGCCGGGTTTTGGTATCAGGATGATGTTGGTCTCATAAAACGATTTGGGAAGGATTCCCTCTTTTTGGATTATTTGGAATAGTTTCAGAAGGAATGGTACCAGCTCCTTTTTGTGTGTCTGGTAGAATGCAGCTGTGAACCCATCTGGACTTGGGCTTTTTTTGTGTGGTAGGCTCTTAATTGCTGCCTCAATTTCAGATCTTGTTATTAGTCTATTCAGGGTTTCGACTTCTTCCTGGTTTAGGCTTGGGAGGACACAATTGTCCAGGAATTTATCTATTTTTTCCAGGTTTCCTAGTTTATGTGCATAGAGTTGTTTGTAATATTCTCTGATGATGGTTTGAATTTCTGTGGAATCTGTGGTGATTTCCCTTTTATCATTTTTTATTGCATCTATTTGGTTGTTCTCTCTTTTCTTTTTTATTAATCTGGCTAGTTGTCTATTTTGTTGATCTTTTTGAAAAACCAGCTCCTGGATTTATTGAGTTTTTGAAGGGTTTTTGTGTCTCTATCACCTTCAGTTCTGCTCTGATCTTAGTTATTTCTTGTCTTCTGCTAGGTTTTGAGTTATTTTGATCTTGCTCCTCTAGCTCTTTCAATTTTGATGATAGGGTGTCAATTTTGGATCTCTCCTTTCTTCTCATGTGGGCACTTATGGCTATATATTTTCCTCTAGAGATTGCTTAGGGTATGTTATGTCTTCATTCTCATTGGTTTCGAAGAACTTCTTTATTTCTGCCTTCATTTCACTGTTTATCCAGTCAACATTCGAGAGCTAGTTGTTCAGTTTCCATGAAGCCGTGCGGTTCTGAGTTAGTTTCTGAATTCTGAGTTCTAACTTGATTTCACTGTGGTCTGAGAGACTGTTTGTTATGATTTCCATTCTTTTGCAATTGCTGAGGAGTGATTTACTTCCAATTATGTGGTCAATTTTAGAGTAGGTGTGATGTGGTGCTGAGAAGAATGTATATTCTGTGGATTTGGGGTGGAGAGTTCTGTAAATGTGTATTAGGTTTGCCTGTTCTAGGTCTGAGTTCAAGCCCTGGATATCTTTGCTAATTTTCTGTCTGGTTTATCTGTCTAATATTAAAAATAGGGTGTTGAAGTCTCCCACTATTATTGTGTGGGAGTCTAAGTCTCTTTGTAAGTCATTAAGAACTTGCCTTATGTATCTGGGTGCTCCTGTATTGGGTGCATATATATTTAGGATTGTTAGCTCTTCTTTTTGCATCAATCCTTTTACCATTATGTAATGTCCTTCTTTGTCTCTTTTGATCTTTGTTGCTTTAAAGACGATTTTATCTCCATTAGCTTGGTAAGTCTTCCTCCATTCCTTTATTTTGAGCCTTTGTGTATCCTTGCATGTGAGATGGGTTTCCTGGATACAGCACACCAATGGGTTTTGGCTTTTTATCCAATTTGCCAGTCTGTGTCTTTTGATTAGGGCATTTAGCCCATTTACATTTAGGGTTAATATTGTTATGTGTCAACAAATTCATACTGCCATTTTGATGCTAGCTGGCTGTTTTGCCTGTTAGTTAATGCAGATTCTTCATTTTGTTTATGCTCTTTACCATTTGGTATATTTTTGGAGTGTCTGGTACTGGTTGTTCCTTTCTACGTGTAGTGCCTCTTTCAGGAGCTCTTGTAAAGCAGGCCTGGTGGTGACAAAATCTCTGAGTACTTGCTTGTTCGCAAAGGATTTTATTTTTTCTTGACTTATGAAGCTTAGTTTAGCTGGATATGAAATTCTGGGTTGAATTATCTCAACTGATGCAGAGAAGGCCTTTGACAAAATTCAACAGCCCTTTATGCTAAAAACCCTCAATAAACTAGGTATTGATGGAA